TTTGTCTCAGTTGTAAATTCTCAACTCTGCCACTGTTACATTAAAGTGGCCATAGACGATATGTAAGTGAATGGGCACACCTGTGTTCCAATAAAACCTGAATTACAAAATAGGTGGCAGGCCTCCATGATCTAAGAGAATGTCCTAACTCTTCTCTACATTTTTATGACCTTAGAATAAATGGATTTATTCAGGTGGTTATTAACAAACATGACATTTTATTTCCTCATTACTTAAAATACCTGCTCACTGAGTCCAGTAATTTTGTTCAAGGTCTGAAAACCAGGTCTTATAATCCAACTGACAGTGACCAGGGTGTCAATTATCCTAGCTAGAATCTTGACACATCAGTCTTTTTAAATAGCTGAAATGCCTAATGACTCCACCAATGTAGACATAGAACCCATCACTTAAAACATGCCAATATGGAAAAGTGATGAAATAAAACACATATTCCAAAGGTGGCTACAAACTGGTAAGAGGGATTGAAAAATAAAAACTAAGAAAGATTGTCTATTATTGATTTGAACTTTAGAATTCAAAACTATCCAAATGCTATAGGTTCTCAGGGACTATTTCAACTATTCTTTCATAAGCAAGAACATTCTTACTTTACAAGACTATTTGTAGTGACTTGGCCAAGACCACATGGCTAGTGATACACAAAGGTCTATTATTCCTATCTTAAGTAACCAATATTAATCCAACTGACAGTGACCACCTGTCATTTGCTAAATTAAACCAGAATTTCAAGTAGTTTAGTTCTTACTTCAAAACAGCACTTTCAAAGACCCTGCAAAGACTGGAGGTAACATTCAAGTGGTAGAGTGCCTGCTTTATAAGCATAAAGCTCTGAATTCAAACCCGTCCTACCGAAAAAAACAAAAAAAAAGACGCTGCTAAGCACCTGCCTGGCAAATGACAGGTCTTCAATACAATCCTCTGTCCCTACTCCACCCCCAAAGAAAAGAGGGAGGGGAGGAGAGGAGAGAAGAGGAAAGGAAAGGCCCTTCCAAAGACTGAAAAATCACTTACCAAGAACAAAACAACACCAGAATGGGGTTGTAGCTCAGTGGTAGACTCCTTCCCTACAATGTGTAAGGCATAGCACCAGTCTCACAGAAAAAAAAAGAAAAACAGAAACAGAGAGAGAAAGAAAGACAGAGAGAGAGACTCACAACACTAATATCATTTGTAGTAAACTCTTTTTTTGGTCATTAACTAAATTCATTGCTTTCTCCTCCAAATAGAACACTGTCTTAAACATAGACAAGTCAATGCGAAGTCACACGAAGAATGCCATTCTCTCTTTTTTTGACAGTACTGGGGGATTTCAACTCAGACCTCACCCTTGCTAGGCAGGCACTCTACCATTTAAGCCACACTGCCAGTTCTTTTTTGTATTGGGTATTTTCAAAATAAGTTCTCTGGAACTATTTGCCCAGGCTGGCTGCAAATTGTGATCCTCCTGATCACTGCCTCCTGAGTAGCTAGAATCATAGGCATAAGCCAATGACAACTGGCTAAGAATGTCATTCTTAGATTAGGAGGTGAGGTACGAGCATTGTGGGTTCCAGCCCAGCCTGGCCATACATGATGACACTGTCTCAAAGAAAACAGGGAAAAAAGAAAGTCATTAAAATATAATATCAACTAGCATGGTGGCAAGCCCATGTAGTCCCAGGTACTTGGAGGCTGACATAGAAGACCATTTAAGCCCATGAGGTCATAGACCAGTAAACACAGCAAGATCCAGTATGGAAACACACACACACACACACACACACACACACACACACACACACAAAACGAAATGTTTTCTTTTTGGGAGAAATTTGGAGTGTTGATTTCTGATTTCAAAATGTGATAGTCATGTTTTTGCCTCACTTGACATGTCCTTAAGTCTATAGTCACTGAAGTAAAAGTCTTACCATAGTCTGTGGAATTGATGCATAGTTTGGAATCCTACCACTTGGTGGAGAAAACTCTGCACAGTTTTTCCCAACACAAAGCATCAGTGCCTGTGAATAGGAGTAAAATTTTTAGAGGATGCCTCATAGGAAGTGTTGGCACCACACCTCTGGGAGTATTTTGAAAGGTCAGAAGGATGCGTGTATTTACAGAGATTGTACAGATCATAACAGGACTAAAAACAACTAGTATTTACCACAGTGACACCTGGCATGGAAAAAGGCAGTGGTGGGAGAAAATGGCTGACACAAATACATGTAGAGCAAAGAGTACAAATCTATTCAAGAAGAGAGATACCATGGGGAAGGAAACCTAATGCTAAAAAGGAACAGTGGTACAGTGAGGGGGTCAGGAAGTCAAACTACTCACAGAGCCTGAATCCAGGAGGAAAGCGCCATCTCTGCTCAGTTTCTCCGTGGAGAGCTGAAGAACAGGGGGCTGAGGGTTGATTCTGTCATTGATGCTGAGGGCTCCCCGAGGAAGTGAGGAGGTGATTACAGCTGCTAGACACAGGTAGGAGAGTCACAGGGAAGAAAAAAAGCAAGTAAAGGAGTGTTACCTCCAAGAGTTTGGGCCTTACTCACTTAGGCCAATCACAGTTATTCATAATATGAAGAAGATGAAGTTAAAACAAAGCTGCTTAAATCCCAAGAAATCCAAATTAACTTCTGATCCTAACTATTATTTCAAAAGCAAATGCAATCCTATGTAACACTATATAATTCTGTAGAGTGAACAAATGATGTCAGTGAGGTCCAAATAACATCTGGAATTAGTTAATAGTAGTACAGCAATCGATTTGAATTTACTGGATTTCACAAGAGTATCATGCTTTTGTAATTTACTTTATGTTGATGTATTTATTTGAGATAGGCTCTCACTATGCAGTCCAGGACGGCCTGAACCTCACCATCCTCCTCCCTTGGCACCAAGCCAGCTGAAAACATTTTAAAATTTTCTATTCTTTCTTTGTTTTGACACGGGGCTGCCTGTGTTGCCTAGGCTGGTCTCAAGCCTGTGGGCTCAGATGATCCTCTCGCCTCACTTTCCAAGGAGGTGGACGATGGTGTGGACCAAACCTGTGGGCTCAGGTGATCCTCTCGCCTCACTTCCCAAGGAGATGGACGATGGTGTGAACCATCACACACATCCGAGTAAAATGATGGGGGTGAGAACTTTCTGCATTGTATTTGTAACTGACCTGTAAATCTAAATTCCAAATGAGGGGAGAAGAGGAGGAAGGGAGAGAGAATGACGTGTTAACACTGTTTCTCTCAGAAAGTATTAGGAGTGCTTTACTTGTCTCTCATTTTTTTTAGTGGTGCTGAACTGAGGGCATCCTACTTGCTAAGCTGGCTCTCCACTACCCAGCCACATCTGCAGCCTCCTCTCTTCCTGATAGTTACGATATTATAGACACAAAATCAACAACATTAAAATTCCATGTCAACTTGCTATGCTGCTATTTTTTAATGGGAGGAAAAAAGTAAGACTGAACCAGGTATGGTGGCATGGGCCTGTACTCCTAGCACTCAGGGGGTGAGGAGGATTTAGAGTTCAAGGCCAGCCTGGGATGCACAGTTAGACCTTGTCTCAAAAAAAAAAAAAAAAAGAAAGAGAGAGAGAGGAAATTTAAGTTTAGTTAATTGAACTTATCAAATAAGTAAGATTATTTTGTAATACAAATTAATAATGTTAAGAACAATTTTCATTTGTAAAAAAATTACCTCCTGTTTCTCCTTTACGTGATGGTTAATCTTACCTGTCAACTCTTTAAATTTTTTAACCATGGTTAAATGCCATGAAGTAGGCAGCAATGTCTTCACCATGTGGGTGTTGTCAGGGCCGAGGGCCCTTCCATCCTTGTCAAGGGAGTGCTAACCTCTCCTGTCATACAACACCTTAAATGTCACCTTGACTGGATTGAGAAGCACACAGGAGACCAGAGAACACACCTCTGGGGCGTCTGAGATGGTGTTTGCAGAGACGATTACATCATGAGCTCTCTGGATGGATTAAAACTCCTTAATTGATTCATAGTTTGATGCCATTACTGGGGGGAGGTGAAGGTGGGAGGTGGGGCCTGGTTGGAGGAAGAAGGTCCCTGGGGTGTCCTTGAAGGGAATATCTTGCCCTGGCTGGTTCCTGTGTTCCTTTTCTCTGCTCCTGGCTGCATGATGGGAACTGCTCTGATCCACAACACCTCCCCACCATGATGGACTGACACCTCTGAAACGGTGAGGTAGAATAAATCTTTCTTCCCTTAGGTGATTTTTGTCAGATATTTTGTCAAAGATGATAAAAATAATGAATACAAAAGATATCTTAAATTTTTAAAAAATTTTGAAAGATTTTAACCAAAACATTACTCCCTATCTCTACATATACTAACTTGAGCACAACTGTAAATAGATGATGATTTAACATTTTTATGCTTTAACTTTAATAAATATGGCAATAAATAATATGACTTTAATAAATTTCCTATCAAAAGCAAAATATTACAACTCAGATAAATATTTTCCCTTTACTTCAAAGACAGCATTACATTGAACATGGACCTAGGGTACTCAGATGTCATTTCACTCTTACCATACATCTTCCAGATCAATTTGTTTAAATAAATAGGCTGCTCTGGTCAACTTGACATTTTCTTTATTTCTTACATCTGTTCTAGAGACTTGACTTAGGAAACTAAATAAAGGTACTATTTTCAGGAGCTTCCCTGAACCAGTATCTCTCTACATATAACTAGCAAAAAGATAAAAATATAAAGCTTTAGATAACAAACAAACCTCTTCTCAATTCAGCACTGGAATGAGTATGATTACGCTTAGAAAACATCTAGAAAAAGCCACTAAAAAAAGGAATCCATCTTTCCTCATCTGAGAGATTGTCAATTCTGTACAAACTGGGATGAGTTGTGAGCATAAGGTGAACCAAGGGCTGGGTTTGCACTTGACACAGCAAAATGTGTTCTTCTAGATACACGTTTGTCCAGTCTGGAATGATTTCTGTAATGAAAAACAAACCCCGTGCCCACCAAAAGAAGACATTTAAAAAGTACAGAATTTTGTAAATGTCAGACAGAATTTCCAAATTTACTATGAATTATTGTTTCAAAAAATATTCTAAGAAGTCATATACGTGTATTAACTTGTGTCTACAGTGTCACCTAAAAGTCTGGAGCAGTTAATGAACTGACCATGGCAAAGCTATCTTATATGTTTCCTCATCATAAAATAGGTCTACTATCTACCATGACATAGTGACAGTGATGTAACAATCTAAGCAGTATCACAGGAAGGACGTCAGTACGTAGCAGATGACAAAGGCACACATGACGGGCTATGGTATCCACTAAGTGTTCTACCAATGCTGCATGATAATGAGTGGTGGCTGTCTCTGTTTCTCCCACACTTAGAGAAACTAATCAAGATACCAAAGCTTGCAAATCAATGATGAAAAGTAGTAATACAAATGATGACTACTAAGTACAAAAGAGTTCATAAGCAAGAGTGACATTTAAATAGTGTATTAGCTTCATGGAGAATGATGAAGTTTTGAGGTAAAGGTTTCCAGGGGACGGAAAGGGGTAAAAGAGGCAGAGAAAACAGGAATGAGATAGGACTAAAGCAAGGGCACCGGCTAAATAAAAGACTACGAGGAACCCTGGGGGAAGCGCAATTTATGAGGGACAAGAGAGCACTGCTCATGTGTCATACTGACACACCTTCACGTGTCCTGGCGGTGCCCATGCTGGGTCACTGTCCTCAGAACCAGCTGGGCTTCTGATGCCCATGAGCACCTGCACTTGTGCAGCCGCCTACTTCCCAGGGCTGCAGCGCATCAGTGCTATGGGGACAGGGCCTGGGCACTGAACTTCCTGTGTCCTGTTACACACTCTCTGCCTGACGAAACCAACTCTCTTCCTTTCTCTGTTTTTGCTTTTCCTTCCTTTTTTATGTCCTTCCTTCTTTTTCTTTCTTTCTTCCTAGTACTGGCGTTTGAACTCAGGGTCTTACCCTTGCTAAGCAGGTGCTTTACCACTTGAGCTACACCACCGGTCCTTTTGCACTATTCTGCCCCAGCTGGCCTTGGCAGCAATCCTCCTAAATATGCCTCATGCATAGCTGGGATCACAGGGGTGCACAATCATGCCCAGCTTGTGTGTTGAGAAGGGATCTCACCAACTTTTTCCCAGCTAGCCTCAAATCTTGATCTTCCTGATATCTGCCTCTGCCTTTTATTATAGGCATGCACCACCATGACTCAGCCTACCAAACTAAACTTTCTCTGGTCCTATCTGTGACCTTTCTTATAAAATCCAGTTTTAGCAAGAACCCCCACCCTCAATATCTGATCACTCTCTACAACTCATCAGGTTCATCATTCTCCATCATCCCCCAGCTGATGTCTAATTACCCTGGACTATCTTCATAAGAATCTTGTTAGCAAGAAGCCCCTTTACTCTTTTTTTTTTCTGTTCCTTTGAGACAGTGTCTCAATAGGTATCCCAGGCTGGTCTTGAACTCACAATCATCCTGCCTCAGCAGACCAAATGCTGGCATCACACGGGTGTGCCAATAGTCCTTGGTAATCTTGATGGTACCTATTAGTAATTTTCTATCCATCAACCCCACCTTACTCTTTCTAAAATTCCCAACTACCCATGAGGCATTCAGAGCTGCATGTAGTCTCCTACTGTGCTTCCAACAAGTGTCATTGAATGAAAAAACAAAAAGCTGTATGATTTTTGAAATTAGTATGTGGACAGTCACTAAGAAGGAGGCAAGTACTACGGGAAATGAAAGAAGCAAAGCTCCAAGTACACATTAAAAATATTTAATGAGTGTCTATTATGTTTGTTTTGGATTTTTGTTTATTGTTTTGGCAGTACTGTGGTTTGAACTTAGGCCTTTGCACTCTACCACTTGAGCCACATCCCCAGCTATTATGCAGGGAACTGTTTAGGTGCTGGAACAAAGTAGTGAATGAAAAAGATAAAAGCCCTATGGTTATGTCAGACTGCATTCTATACAAGGAGAAGAAAATAATAAATAAGCAAAATACCTGGTCAGTAATATGTGCTTCAGAAAAAACCTAGAATGGAAGAGTCAGACATGTCAGGGTGTTGTAGGGAAGGGAAGGATGAAGCGGTGCATGTTAAATAGAAATAGACAGAAAACCTGAGAAGGAAGACAGATATGAGAAAAAAATCAAAACAATGACAAAAAAAACCCTGAAGTAGAGGGAGAAGCTCTACTTCTGTGTACTTATATTCCAAAATGGAAATATGTACCTTGAAACTAGAGCCTTTCCTATGAGGGGAGAGCAGGTTGCCCACAGCATCTAAAAGAGATTACACACACCAGGCAAGCAGATCTTGGAAATTCAGAAAAACACAGAAATAAACAAGATCTAAAGCAGCCCTGATCAGTACTTTTGATAAAAAGCACTATTATCAAGAGCTTGTAGATAAAATGCTATGAGAAGATTACTTGAAGTCTGTAAGCTTGGACATTAAATGCTAGACACTGGATAAATAAGCCTATTCCATGATTCCAGAGTTCTCTATTTTTTTGGGAGGTGAGGTAGAGACACAGAGCAGTTAGGGAAACATGTAAATTACATGCCTGTAATCCCAGTGCTTAGGAGGTATATAGCATGACCCTGTCTCAAAACAAAAGAACCAAATGAAAAACGCTATGAACAAAGCTAAAACTAAACTGAGGCTCCATGAAAGAAAATTTTCCCTATAGGAAACTCAGAAAAGGGGTATCTATTTCTGTGAAAGGCACATCGAAATGTGAAAGAAATCAATCTTATGAAAGGCTTCCCTGAGGGAGAAAGGATGTAAGAACCAAACTGATGTTAAACTCTGCATTTGAAAACGGGACAAGAGAATCAAAATGACAACTAGATCTGAGATGGAAGTAAATAGTTAAAGACCCAAATAAGTTTTCTCCTAGCACACAAGATTTGGGAAGGCTGTGAACATGTGTGTGGTAGTAAACTAGTTTTTAATCTCAAATTTCATGACTACAGGTCTAACAATCTTTATAGTGCCCTGCCACCTCTTACTATCCAAGCTACTGTGCTCATAAAGCACTGTTATAAACAATCCTACTAAGTACCGACATTAAACACTGGGTAGCATGGTTATTAAGTCCAAAGCAGATGAGTACAGAGACTGAAATCAGTTTACTGGGGACAAGGCAAGCGAGGGAAGGAGGCAGGAGTGCCGCTAATTGCTTATGGGCAGAAGATAAAAGTGCTCTAAACTCAGACTGCGATGATGGCTGCACAACTCTGTAGATAGACTAAAAACAATGGAATGGTACAATTAAAATGGTGCAGTCCTGTGACAATAATTCTATCTCAGTAGCGCTGTTTAAACAAGCAAAAAGTATTATCTGTGGCAGATCTTTTTATTGACATAGCTATAAGCACCCAAATTGAAACCTATAAAGCTAATCATTTACAAGAAAACAAAATATGTGAATTTGCTTAATGGTTTTACTTGTAAAATATTTACAAGTGATATCCACTCTTACCCATATTGGCCAATAACCCTGAAATTGCTTGAACATCAGCTTCCAGAAAGACTTCATTCAGAGTTGAAACTACTGGCAAACACAAAGTACGGATAGTATTCTTCTTTCACCTTTGGGGAAAACACATGATAGTAAGGACAGCTACATTCAAAAAAGATTATGCTAGAGTCAGGTCTTTTCACTATAGAACCAAGTAGTGTCATATAGGAAGCAGAGATGCTATCAACACTCTAGTCTGTGACAACAATAAAGTTTTTTTTTATTATTATTTTTTGAGTATAAAACTCTTTATTTACAGTATTACTAAACAGATAACAGGGAGCATATTTAAATGATAATATCCTAGCATTTTCTTCCTTCTCCACTTCTTTCTCTATATCCCCCCCACCACCCCGCTTTCTTTTTTGAGAGGAGGACTCACTATGTAGCCCAGGCTGGCCCAGCCATATGAGTGTTGGAATTACAGGTATCTGTCAGCACACCTGCCAATATGCTAGTGTGCTTTGTGGCCTTTTTTAAGTTCAGAAAATTTTTATTTTATTTATTTTATTTGCAGTACTGGAGTCTGAACTCAGGGCTTCACACTTGCTACCCAAGACCTCTACCAATTGAGCAATGCTCCTAGCTTTAATTTTACTCTTTTTAAACACAGAAAAAAAAAATTAAAGGAAATAGATTAGTAGTTACAATGCCCTTTCTTTGCTAGTTACCTACAACAACTATCAGTAATTCAAAGTAAAAATGAAAACTTTTAAGAATCATCAAATTATCTCTCTCCTCTCTCTCTCTCTCTCTCTCTCTGTCTCTCTTCTCTCTCTCTCTGTCTCTCTGTCTGTCTGTCTCTCTCTTTCTCTCTCTCTGTTTCTCTGCTGGGGATTGAACCCAGGACCTTCTGCATGGTAAGCTCATCTGGGATGTGAATAAACAAACTGGACACAGCAAGAAACTACTCAGGAATAAAAAGGAGTAAATCACTAAGATGCAGCATGTGGATGAATCTCAAAATGCTAAGTAAAGGAAGCCAGACTCAAAAGTCTACACACTACAGGTTGAGCAACCTGAACCCAAATATCCAAACTCTGAAATCTTTCAAGCACCACAAGTGGAAAATCCCGCTCCTTAGACATGAGGGTAGGGTAGCGGTCAAAATGAAGGCACACTAAAATATTGTATAAAATGATCTTTGGCTATGTCTGTAAGATGTATAGGAAACACAAGTGAACTTTATGTTAAGATCTGATCCCATCCCCAAGATATCTCATAATGTACATGCAAATAATCAAATATTTGAAAAAAATCCAAAATTGAAAAAATTCTTCCAGTGCCCAGTCTTGTTTTGTTCTGTCAAGTAAGACATAAATGTCTAGACGGGCACCGGTGTCTCACATCTGTAATCCTAGCTACTCAGGAGGCAGAGATCAGGAGGATTGAGTTTCAAGGCCAGCCCAGGGAAAATGAAAAACGAGACCCTATCTCAAAATACTCAGCAGAAAAAAGGGTTAGCAGAGCGGCTCAAGTGGTAGAGTTTAGCCTGCCTAGCAAGTGTGAAGCCTAGAATTCAAACCCCAGTGCCACCAAAAAAAAAAGTAAATTGAACATGCCTCAGAATAAAACACAAATTAGATGTTAATTAGGAATGAACAAGTCCCACCCTTAAGAACTGCTGTCTGTCTCCAGCACAAGTCCTTTCAAAACGTCCACTGGACGAGGTCTTTCCCTGGCTACTCCATCTTAAAATAGCAACTCGAGCACTTCCTATACCCTTACCTGCTCTGCTTTTCTCCTTAACTATTACATTGTTTATCCTGTTTATTATCTGACTCACTAATAGAACTAAAATCTATGCAATAATTTTTTTTTTTTTGAGACAGGGTCTCGCTGGCTGTGTTGCCCAGGCTGTTCTAGCACTCCTGGGCTCAAGTGATCCTCTTGCCTCAGGCTCCCCAGCACTGGAATACAGGCCAGAGCACAGCTCAATAAAGGGATTTTTAAACTGATGCACAGAATGTCTGCTACAAAACAGACTCTCAATGAGTATTTATGGCTGAGTATGGTGGCCCATGAGTATAATGCCAGGACTTGGGAGGTTGAAGCAGGAGGAACATGAGTTCGAGGCCAGCCTGGACTATACAGTAAGATCCTGACTCCAAAGAAAAGAATGTGTGAATAAAATGTAAAATGGTCTAGGAAAATAAACACCATGGCTTTACCAAGAATAACAACAAAGCTCTTATGATCAGGAACACTCTTTTGGCTGAACAGGCATTCCTAATTACTCCAAAGAGTCTCTCATACTCAGAAGAAGACATTCTACATGAACAAACGTACCTTTACTACAATACTGTGCTGAACGTTAACACAGTAGAGCTTATGTTGTGGTTTTTGTGACAATAAAGCAAACAAAAACTTACCTTTGCTTGATGTATACAAGAGTGCTGACTGAAAAGAACCCAACTGCATGTCAGGAAGACTCTTTTCCGCTGACATCTGTACTGTATACCTGGCATCTGGGTTGACATTGGGCAGAGACAGGAAGTCTGTGGAGCAGACAAAGAAGTTCCCATGGAAAGTGTGAATGGTGAGAACTAGGCGAGAACAAATTTTAAAATGACTTTATATGCCTGCCTCTGGATATTTACACTTTATCCTAGTCACTTATGAGATACTAAAAATAGGTAGATAATAGAGAGGATTTAGTGAGATTGAGGGGGATAGGTGTCTTCTTAAATAAAGGTGAGGATACAACCTTCAAAACGCTTTCTGGGAGGGACAATTTGGCTCTACATATTAACATTATTTGAACTTTAGCAATCTCTTATCTAAGAATTTATGCTATAGATATACTCATTCAAGTGCACATTTCTTTGTGCAAAAACATTTTAAACAGATTTGTCACAGCAAAAAATTTTAAAAATCACCATCACTGGTTATCAGTAGTAAAATAACTAAACTGTGATTTGTTCCTTTTAGTGAAATTAGGTAGACATTAAACAGAATGGGATAGGTTTATATAAACTAAAATGAAGGGATCTTTAAAGTTTATTAAGTGAGCATGTCATTTATGCAAATACACCATCTATGTACTTTCCATGCAGTTGTACCTAAGCCAAAAGCAGAAAATCCTGTTATGCACCAAAGTGGTTACAGTAAATACATAAGGATGTAATTGTGTGTACAATCAAGCTGATATGGAAGGAATTTAGCTTTAGCAATAGGTATATATGCAAATATATACATGCATAATGCATGTATAAAATATTTGTATTTTAAAGAAAAACAGATGCATATATTGTGAAATAAAAACTAACTTTAAAACAAGAAAGATACAGTTCTGCACATACAAAAACAGATGTCCATGATGTGGTTTAAAAACATGTGAGCATCTCATGGAGCACAGCAGAGCGGGAGCCAGCATGCAGAAGCCTGGTGACTTGCCAGATTCACACTGCCCCAAGCTCCCTTGCCAGCATCTACAGCAGGGAACATCATCTGCAGCTAGAGAAACACTTCAAGGTGGATGGGTACCCTGACTATAAGACCAGGTGGCCCTGGCTACCAGGCTCAACCTGAAGGAGTATGATGTGCAGGTGTGGTTCCAAATGTATTTGATCCTTAAGGACTGTGAGGAACTCTTTTTTTCTGGGGGGGGGGGGGCGCAAGGGGGAGTCCTGGAGTTTGAACTCAGAATTTTGCACTTGCAAAGCAGGCACTCTAATGCTTGAGGCACACCTCTAGTCCATTTTGTTCTGCTAATTTTGAAGATAGGGTCTCACAAGGTATTTGCCCAGGCTGGCCTCAAACCTTGATCCTCCTGAACTCAATCACTCAAGTAGCTAAGGCTTATAGGTGTGAACCACCACTGCCCCAGCTAAGTTCATTGTTAAGGCAGGAAAATGACATAAAACCAGCAGAAAAAAAAAAAAAAGCTAGGCCCCAGTGGTTCATACTTATAATCCTAGCTACTCAGGAGACCAAGATCAGGAGGATCATGGTTTGAAGTCAGCCTGGGCAAATAGTTTGTGGGACCCTATCTTAAAAAAAACCTATCACAAAAAGGGGGGGAGGTGGGCTGGTGGAGTGGCTCAAGGTGTAGGCCCTGAGTTCAAACCCCAGTACAGAAAAACAAAAAACAAAAAAAAAAAAGAAAAGAAAAAAATCCTGGACCCATTGTTTGGTTTTCCGGAGATTACAACAACAGCTACGACCACTGAAAATAAAGTGCCAAAAGCAGAACATTTTACAAACCCCGCCCCACCCCTTGCCCTGCCATTCCTGGCTCTCCATTATAACCAGCATTTGGAAGTGACTTGATCACAAAGCACTGCTCCTTTCATCTTTTCAGTCTGGACAGCTTCTTCTACCACAGCCTGAAGTCTGATCCCGATTTCTGGTCAGACACTGTGAAGTCCAGGGAGCTCCCCTCAGCCCTAGAGGCCTTCCAGAGACTTTCTATCTCTGCATTGGCACCTGGGTACAAAGAGGGAGGTAGCATGGCAGATTGAGGGCAGATCAGGCCCAGGATGGTTCTGAATATTTGAGGGGGGGAGGGTCTGTGCCTATGGCTCTTGCAGGTCCCATGGAGCCAGATCCCTGTGGGTACTTTTGGATCTGTGAATACACCATTTCCCCAAACCTGCTAGACAGTTCTCATGGATATGGTAGGAGAGCAATTCTTGCAGATTTTTTTTTTTTCTTTTTGGGAGGGAACCCAGGATCTTATGTATGCAAGGCAGGCTCAGTAGTAACTGAGCCACACCCCTAGGTGGGGAAAGCATTTCTGGGGGATTCCTTCAGTACTTGGTGCCCACAGGCTCTAAATGGCCCTGCCCACCCTTACTCACACTTGGCTAGTGGGAGGTTTTAATGTCTGCTTTGTGCCCTGTCCTGGCTTTAATATTAATTTCCCTGGTGTTTGGCAGGTTGGTCATTCACATATGTTATGTCCTCTTATGTTTCATTCATTTGAATTTATTCCTCTACGACAACTGAAGTGCCTTATTATTTCTTCCCCACCCCCATAAAAAATCCCCGTGATTGTGAGAGTCATCTTTTTGACCTGGAATTAAGGCTAAAGTATGTGCTTACCTTGTACGGGAAAACTTTTAAAGGGATGTCAGAAGCCAAAGAATGGGACCTAGTGGACTATGTTTCTCTTTTTATATGTTTTAATACTTCATCTTTTTCCCCCTGTGGTGCTGGGGATTGAACCCAGGGCCTCAGACATGCTAAACATGCCGTCTACATACAGCTGTACCCACCCCATCTCCTATCAATGATTTCTAATGAAATTAATTGATCATAAAAGAAAAAACTAAGCCAGTTAACCACACAGTTTTCAGTTAGGCACTCTGTAGAGAAGCTCAAGCCTAGTTTGTTGGCATTTTCCCAGGCTCTTCCTACCCTTACCTTTTTTTAGGGGGCTGGGGGTAGGGGCATGGGGAACACTGAGATTTGAACTCAGGGCCTTGTACTTGCTAGGCAGGCACTGAACCATTCCTCATCCCAGTTCCCAGTCTCTTTATGAAAAGTAAGATAATAAAAATAACCTCTGATTCATCAAGTAGAGAAAGTCTTAAGCATGTTTAGTATGAACACTTTCCCTAATTAGCAGTCAGTATCTGGAGAAATAAACATTTTTTAATTCTGCCAATCTTATATATTAATTTTTAACGTTCTGTTTTGAGACTGTGTCTTACTTCATAGCTCAGGCTAGTCTCAAACTTATGATCCTCCTGCCTCAGCCTCCAGGCACACAGTTCTTTTTTTTAAAAAAAAAATTATTTCTCAATGCATTTCTGTATGTCTTCATATACTGCCTTGTGCTAGCTGCTCTGGTGCTTATTATGAGTTTATAAGCACAGACCACTGTCTCACCAGTTGAGATCTGCCTTACTTAGAGTACTAACATCAGACCTTTTAATTTCATTTTCTCCTCTTTTCTACCAGCATATATTAATTACACAAGGGGTTTTGTTATGATATTTCCATACACGCATATAATGAGCTCTGATCAGAGTCAACCCCACTATTACTCGTTCTTATCTTCCTCCCCCATTTTTAAACAATTTTTAACGGGTCTGACAACTCTACTTTCATACTTGGGTACAAAATACTTACTCACCCCTCTCATCCTCCAGACTCCTGCTGGTTCCCAACCCCAAATGCTCCTCCTTCTGACACTCCCACAAACTCCTTTTAAATGATGCTACTATTACCACACCAAAGTAACTGCAGGCATTTCACTCAGCTTTTCTCTAACTTCTCAAGGTCCTGTCAAAAAGAATAATCCATTAGTGGTATAGAAACTTCTCTATTTCTCTCCTACTAAATTAGCATAGCCCACTATAAGATTTATTACTGGTTAAACTGATCAGCAGGAGGCTATTGTGCACACCTGCAGCCCCCAGCTGCTTAGAAGGCTGGGGGGAAGGGGAAATTGAGACCAGCCTGGGCATTATTCAAGGGAATAAATGCTCTTACGTTGCCTTCTACTTAGAATAACGTCATATGTCATTTCACCATTCACTGAAGAAAACAATCATGAAGAACTTACCCGGAGAAGCCAAATCAGAATACTGTCCACTGAGAAGGAATAAGTCAACAGCTACCTGTTGACCAGAACAGTCCAAGGCTAATTTCTTATAGAAGTCAATGGATGGAGTCAGGTGTATTTTCTATGAATAATAAATAACAAAGATACATCAAAAAATCATTATCAAAAATGTAAATACATCTGCATATATGTATAATTATAACATCTTTGACCCACCTCTATATGTGTGGGTTTTTTTTTGGGGGGGGGCAATACTGGAGTTTATATTCAAGGTTTCACCCTTGCTACATAAGCCTTCTATCACTTGAGAAACACACCCAGGCCTACATAGATTAATAACAATTATCTCTGGGGTATTCTACTCAAACCTTGTACATTTTTATACTACTTGATTTTTCATTAAAAAACGGACTAGACAGGTGTGGTGGCCAAGCCTACAGGCCCAGCAACTGGGAGGCTGAGGAAGGAGGACAACAAGTTCAAGGCCAGCCTGAGTTACTTAATGAGACCCTGTCTCAACAGACTAAAAACGAAGATGCATGTGTGCTGCTTTTTAAAATGGAAAAATGAGACCTGTTGACACATTGTAGGAATGGGGGGAGGGGAGATAAAAGAGAAAAAGGGAGGGGAGAATTCCACTATGACATATTGTAAGAGCTTTTGTAAATGTCCCAATGTTACCCCAGTACAACAATAAAAAAAATAAATTAAAAAAATGTGCTGCTAAAGAATTTTCTTTGAACTTTTTAGGGCTAGGGATATAGTTCAATGTAGAAGCAAGACCTAGCATGAATGAGGGTTTGAGTTTGATCCCCAGCAGTACTGAAAAATTTTTAAAAGAAAAGTAAAAGAGACAAAGAAAAGAATTTTCTCTGAGTGACTTTTCCTGTCAAAAAGTAAACATCACTAATTACATTAATTTTGTAATAGGCAAAGATAATTATTTTAATTAACATTTGTCAAATGCTCAGTATGCTGGTAACTATTCCAAACAAACCACAGGTAACACGGAGCCCCTTCGACTACCTATTTCTGCTTCACATGGAAACAGAGGAGCTAATAAGTACTCAAGTGTCCACATCTAATAAGCAGTAGAACATTAGGCAGTCTGTCTCTAGGAGTCACATAATTAGCAGAATAAGATACTGGCTTCTCTCATCTTTTGGGAAACATATTCCTCAAACTCTTAAGGTCATAATGCAAGTTGCTCAAAAGCCAGTGCCAGAATAACAAATTATGGCCACTGCTTACTAGGGACTTGCTTGTCCCTAGCAAGTGTTATTTCTTTAGTTTCCCATACTTTCTCATCAAAGCTAGGTTGGATTATAGTGGCTTGCTAAAGATATTAGAAACAAGGCATGGGAGCCTCAGGTAGAGAAAATTGTAATAAAAAAGGTATGTCTACAGAAGAATGAAACCCTTTACCCAATTCCTTATAACCCTCCCCATAACTGAAAAGTACATTAAAACAAACAAAAAAGCTGGGTGCTTGTGGCTCATGCTTATAGTCCTAGTTACTCAGGAGGCAGAGATCAGGAGAATCATGGTTCAAAGCCAGCCCAGGGAACTAGTGCGCGAGACTCTATCTCGAAAAACCCTTCACAAAAATAGGGCTGGTGGAGTGGCTCAAGGTGAAGGCACTGAGTTCAAGCCCCAGTACTGCAAACAAACAACAACAAAAAACCTGTGGCCAAAGGGATAAGGGCACCAGCATAATCATATCATAAACTTGATAATTTTCTGACATTAACAAATGATCTGTTTGGGTTCCTCTCTTGGTTTAAGAGCTCCCACAACAAGAATTGGGAGTTGTGTTTGAAAGACAGACATTCAACCACCAGTTGGGGCCATCAGGTCAAGGCAGCCTGAAGGGCAGGACCCAAGGCACCTGGGTCTCCACTCTTGGTAAACATTTGTGGCAAAGTTTTCAGTAAATCCTGGAAAAGCTTGTGAAATGAAGAAGAAAACTCAAGAGTGTTACAATTCAAAATCTTTCTCACACCAAGTAAGTATCTAATACAACAGACAAGACACTGAGTTCATGAGGAAAGGTCAGAGAATCTACAGAGATTAAACAATGAAGTTGGTGAGATGACAAGAAAGCCATTTTAAATCAACATTATAAATTGGCAAGCAAGACATCAGAATTGGAGCCTTACAGCTCTAGAATATGCAATAGTTCAGTAAGACTATAAGTTAAAAATGTATCCAAAAGAACTACCCCAGTGAAGAAATACCATCTATTTTAATGCCATGGAATATGGCTTTTTTCATGACCTCTATATATTTTATAAGTTCCAAAGTTCCCTGTTGCAAATCTAAGATATTTACTAACTTGCCAAGTAGTTAATACTACCACTAAGAAAAGACAAAATCAAAACCAACTACCTCTTCAAGTTAGGGCGTAAAGATAAAGAGAATTAATGGTAAAAAAGAATACTTCCCATGATGGCACAATGACCACTGCCAAGAGCAGAGCCCATAGACTTGCTAGTGAAAACGTCACCCTACAGCATAGATGCATGTACAGGGTAGATAACATCCCCCTTCAGACACGTTCTGTTCACCTCTCATTGTATTATGTCATGGCAATTTCCAGGCAGGTGATAAGAGTTCTTTGAACTGACCCCAATGACACTCTGAACGAGAAAAGCACTCAGTGCTTCCCTACAGTGACCAGGGGCGACTTTCAACTTTCCCACTTCCCAGGAGGTCTTCAAACGTTCTTTCCTTTTGGAAGAGGCTTATCTTCTACTCTGAGCTACACTCCCAGTATGTTTTCTCACCTTCTTGATGATGTTATTTTTGTTTGCTTTCTTGAGACAGGGTCTCACTGCGTAGGCCATGTTGTCATTGAACATGTGATCTTCCTGTCTCCACCTTCTGAGTGCTGGGACTTCAGAGGTACACGGCCACACCTGGCTTCTTGATGATGTTCTGTAAAGCACAAACCTCTTTAATTTTGAAGAAGTCCAATTTATATACTTTTTTCCTTTTGTCATCAATACTTTTGATGCTTCATCTAAGAGTCCAAGATTCACTCCTATGCTTTCTCCTAACACTTCCAAACTTTTAGTCTCACAATAGGCTCTATGAGCCACTTTCAGTAACTATTAATTTTTTCTGTAGTGCTAAGTATTAAACCCATGGCCTCATGCAAGGTAGGCAAGTGCTGAACCTTTGAGCTAAACCGCCAGCCTGAGTTAATTTTTTTATGGTAAAATGTACAAAATAATAAAATTCATCATCTTAACTATTTTGAACATACAATTCAGTGGTATTTGATGTATCACAATGCTGTGAATCCATCATTTATTTTCAGAACCTGTTCATCATCCCACACAGAAACTCTGTACCCACTCACAATTCCCTACTTCCCTTTCCCTCCAGCTCCTAGTAATCTCCATCTTCTTTTCTGTTTCTATGAATCTGCCTATTCTAGATACGTCATGTAAGCAGAACCACAGAATATATTTCTCCATTTGTGTCAGGTTTATTTCACTTAGCAAAATCTTTAAGCTTCATCCATGTTGTATCATGAATCAGAATTTCATTTTTCCTTGAGGCTGAAAAATATTCTATTATATGTTTATATCACATTTGCTTATTCATTCACTTGCTCATGGCTACTTGGGGTGCTTCCAACCTTTGACTATTCTGAAAAATGTTGCTATGAATGATGTACAATGATTTGTCTGAGTCTCTGCTTTAATTCTTTCAGGTATAAAATAAGAAGTGGAATTGTGAAATCTTATGCTAATTTTATGACAACTCTGAGAACTACCAAACTGTTTTCCATAGAAGCTGTACCATTTTCCACACTGACCATCAATTCATGGGGGTTGTGATGTTGCCATACCTTGCCAACATTTGTTGTTTTGCATTTTGTAAAAACTAGCCATCCTTCTGATGGATGGGAAGTTAACTGATGATGAGTTTTTGGATAGTTTGATTTTTTTTTTTTTTTAGAAATATGCAAGCAATTAGTATTTTATTCTATGATGGATTCCACATTGTTACAACAAAATGAAAAATGAGAAGACATGGTCTACATTAACAGAGGTGAAATGTATAAACATACTTAAGTTACAACTCACAGCAGAAAGTATAGCTATTTCTTATTATAGTTTGAAAAAAATATTTTTTGTCACAAACAATACACAGAAGGATTTTTGTTTTGTTTTTGGTGCTGAGGACTGAAGTCAGAGCCTCTAGAATGCAAGGCAAGCAGTCTACCACTGAGCTACATCCCAGCTCTCATTGTGATTTTGACTTACATTTTCCTAATGATTAAAGATGTTGAGCATTTTTCATGTCCTTATTGTCCATTTGTGTATCTTTTATGGAAAAATGTCTAGTCCAGTCCTCTACCCAGTTTTCAATATTTTTTGTTGTTTTTGAGGCATAGTTCTTTATGTGTTGTGCATACTAAATTCCATATTAGATATATCATTTGGAAAATTTTCTCCCATTCTGTGGGCTAATTTTTTCACTCCCTGGACAGTGTTCTCTGATGTACAAAACTTGTTGTTTTTCTTTTGCAGTACTGGGGATGGACCCCAAGGCTTTGTGTATGCTAGCATGGGCTCTAATACTGAGCTACATCTCGAGCCACAAAAAGGTTGCTGTCTTTTAGGAACCTGGGATGAAACCCAGGGCCACACATGCTAGGAAACTGTT